TTGAATACGGGGTGCAAAAATTCTACAGCCGACATTAAAAAGGTCTTATTTGAGCGCATATACCAGGTTCACTTCTTGTTGTTAAAATAACATACGTTTTTTTGTTTCAAGATTTAAACAAAAATATGGACTAGCTGGGTATCTAACCCGATACCTTCCAATTACTAGGCGGTCGCCTATCCACAAGATCACTTTGCCTCACTGCGATTACCTGGTTCGCTTTTAGTTGTTAACACTTTCCGATGCTGATTTAATGATTGTTTAGAAACAGGTGCATTCAAACTAACATGCCATTGAAAGTAACATTCCGTTGAAGCTTACTTAGAAATGCAGTGCAGCTGTAATTAGGCACTGCTCATTGTTATTCATATTAAAGATGCAGGCTATTCGATTCAGTTTTTGAAATAGCTCGCATCGGCTATATTTGAATATTTACGTAACAAAGTACTCAGCTCTTTCTAACATGGCATCAATTAATGAATTGAAGAAAAGAACGGACACTCCCTTCATCGAGTTAATACTTTCGTCATTGCGAGGATTTCCAAAGACTGAGGTAGAAATAGCATTTCTGACATTGCAACAATGACCGCATTATTTTGATGTCGTAATGGTATCGAAATATAAGAAAGGAAAACAACTTCAGTTCAAGACAGTTCAAAATAATGCTGGGAAATGGAAATTAAAATGATACCGTTTTAAAAACCAGTTAGATATGGTTTTTGGACAAGAAGCATGAGATAATTCATTGCTCGGCAATCTGGACTGTATTTGAAACAGAGCATCCAATATTCCTGATATTTAATAGTGTACTGTCAATGAAAAAATATAACTAAAAAAATAATAATAATGGACCTCTTTACCCAAGGCTGTGTGTCTTTGTCGAGCACAAAATGATTCTGCTCGGGTATGCAGCCATATTGGGCTATGAGAAGTAAAACCTTGCCCATCATTGAATTCATGTTGTAAAGTTGTTTACAGACTGGAAAAGGATAGCATGGGAGTGTACAGAGTGAATAAAAGGAAGAAAGTAGTACTGAAAATGTAAAAAACTTGTTTAACCTGGCAATAAGGGACTCTTGAATGTAGTTTAAAAAATGGACATGGCTTTGGGGCTAACGCTACCGGCCACCGGCTACGCTGACGACCGCCAGCTAGCTGACGACCTCCAAGAACCCCCCCCCCCAAAAAAAAAGACCCCCCAAAGGGGCTCCCTAACAGTTTTTTCCTACACTCAGCTGCTCCCCCCTCACCATAGGCCCTTTTTCAAGTTTTTTTGAGGAATCCATTGACATATTGTGCATTGGAACCCTTTCCCATACATCAACAATCACCAACACCAAAAATAATTATTTTATCACACCAAAATTGGAAAAATGATTAACTTTTAATACCTGGCTTTTGGGCTTTAAAACAAAATACACTAGGTGGGGATCGAACCCGATACCTTCCACTTACTAGGCGGTTGCTTATCCACGAGACCACTTTGCCTCACTGCGTTTACCTGGTTCACTTTTAGTTGTTAACCCTGTGCTTTTAGTTGTTAACACTTTCAGCTAGCTGACAAAAGGCAGACGCGGATCCAGGGGACCGGGAGGGCCTTGCCCCCCCCCCCCCCGCAAAAAAAAAAGAGAGAGAGAGAAGGAAAAGAAGGGAAAGGGAAAGAGGAGAGAAAGGGAAAGAAAGAAGAGGAAGAGGAAGAAGAAGGGAAAAAGGGGGGAAGAAGCAGATCAAGGGCCGAAAGGGTCTTGGATCCCAGCTGTCACCCCCCCCCCCCCCCCCATTACAATATAAGAGAGAATGATGAAAAGGGAAAGGAAAAGGAAAAGAAGAGATAAAGGGAGGGAAAAAAGGAAGAAGAAAAGAAAAGAAGCGGGATATCAGTTGCAATTTTGCCGCCAACAAGTTGTAGTTCAGAGGGGCCAAAAGGCCCTAGACCCCACGCCAATTAACGCTACGCTCTGCCTTATCGTAAATACCACTCCCCCAACCTACTTAGAGAAACGTTCAGCGAGGCCTGCATGAAAAGTGGGTGGTGCGGTTTTTTTTTTTTTCTACCCCCCCCCCCCCCAAACGTTTTTGCTCATTTCGCCACTGCCGGTGTCAAAATTACGTACCAATATTTGGCTAGCATAATTTCAAATTTGGCCCCCCTAACAAATCCTAGATCCGCGCCTGGGGCCCCCCAAAGGGGCTCCCTAACAGTTTTTTCCTACACTGCTCCCCCTCACTCTAGGCCCTTTTTTTTCTTCTTTTTTTGAGGAATCCATTGACATATTGTGCTTTGGAACCCTTTCCAATACATCAACAACACCAACAATAATTATTTTATCACACCAAAATTGGAAAAAATGATTAACTTTTAATATCTGGCTTTTTGGAATTAATATAAAATACACTAAAAGAAAAATTGTAACTGATCTCCCCTACCTTTCTTCTTCCTCTTTCCCCACCCCCCATCCCCTTCCCTTACTTCTCTCACCCTCTTTCATTTAAGTTTGGTGAGGGAGGCAGGGGCCTTTCGCCCCCTCCCCCCGATCCACACGATGTTGATGGGATTAATCGCAACTGATCTCTGCTTCTTTTCACCCTTTTCTTTTTTCTACCTCTTTTGTGTTCCATTTTAGCTCTCCTCTTTCCCTTTCCCTTCTTTCTCTATTTTTTTGGCGAGAAGGGGGGGTGGTGGTCTGGGGGGGGGCAGAATGAATGTCCGACACGGACATTCTGCGCGGATAAAATCGGCACCGATCGTCCGCTCTCGATCGATCTCTAATAGTCGGACGATCGGTGCGGGTTACATTCTACGCGGTCACACCGGCAATAGATTAAAGACGTCTATGAGAGAGACCAGTATGTTTTTGTGTGGCATAACGAAGAAGAGGATGTTTATGCTATTAGGCATGTGAGAGGGGGTACTGGAAACGTAGTTCACCGCCGATTGTTACGAATTTCCCCCAGTATTGCAAAACAATGACAAATCTGATGATGTTGATTCTGAGGCGGAGGAGGTAATGACCTTGAGAAGAAATGATCCAAATTCTCGAGCCTATATTGGTAAACAAAAAGTAGGGGAGACCCCTTCTGACTCAAATGTTGAGAAATTCGATGATTCGGACTCAAATGAGGTGTTGATTAGGGGGTACAGACAAGAAATTGAAGGTTGGTAATGTTGGTAATGAACAAGTAGGGGAGATTCCTCACATTGCTCCCATGCCTGTAATTTATTCGCCTCCCACCCCCGTGCTTCGGCGGAGTACGCGTAGTACACGGGGTAGGCATCGGAATCCATTTCAACTTCCACAGTCTAGCATTTGATGTTATTAATTGACATACTACATGCATTTCAAACAATATAATTAGATGATGTTTTACAATGTACTCTGTGCTTGAGATGTAAAGATTTGCTATGGTATATGTTATATCATGATTCGTAGGTATCTGGAGTAATTAAATTATGTTTGTACCACATACATTGCTGATATCAAGAGTTTAAATCAAAACTTGTAAGTTTTGATTTAAACTCTTGATATCAGAAACCAACTATGAAGTTGTATACGGAATATATTGATTTAGTTGCACAACTGCTTGTTCATTGAAGCGTTTACCATTTTTAAAGTCATGGCTTCCACAAGGTGCAGTGGTTGATTTGAATATGTGTATACAGGGGCGTACGCAGGATTTTTTCAGGGGGGGGGGGGTTTTAAAATCTGGCCCAAAATATTTTGGTCCCGAAAATTTTTGAAAATCGCGCCGGCCGAAAAGTCGCTCAGTGGGGGGGGGGGGGGGGGGGGTAAAGCGGACACTTTTTTTTTTTTTGTATCGAAATTTGAAAATTTGACATTTTGCTCCGTTGGGGGGGGGGGGGTAAGGTCATCTTTTTGAGGTCTTTTTTTTTTTTTTTAATTAAAAAAAAAAAAAAAAAAAATCCAAAAGGGGGGGGGGTTTAGGGAAATTTAGGGACACAAAAAATTACCAAAGGGGGGGTTTAACCCCCCAAACCCAAACCCCCCCCCCCCCTGTGTACGCGCCTGTGTGTATACCATTCAGGTGTAGGTCTGCAACTAGTGTAAGGCTTGGTTGTTATTTGGAAATTCAAACAATGTTATAATGGCATTATGATAGTGTTAGCTAATTAGCTGTTGGTAGAGAGACACATGTTTTGGTGGGCTCTGAGAAAGGAAGTAATCATACACATAAGACCCCATGTTGAATTTGGTTGTGTCACTTGCAGGACCTACAGTTCATGTTTATTGAGAGAGACAGAAAATAGCTGTTTAAGTCTGAACCTGAATGTATCAATAAAGATGAAACAAAATGGAACCAAATGAATCCTGCGTCATTATTGCTTGACTCGTTACATTACTGAAGGGAATCCCTTGAATTTTATTCAGACATTTTCTAAAACAAGTTAAAACGAAAAGACCTTTGAAGATCAATTACACTCGTGTTAATGTTCGCTTTAAAACGCTTATACGTTTGTGTACTTTTGTCTCACTTTCATTAAAATCATATCCTTTTAGTGGTAAGATGTCAATAACTCAATTTGGCCTTTTTTTTCGTATCAAATTTTGTAAAGTGTAAAATTTGAGTTTGAGAGGTACCGAATTGCTTTTTTTTTCTTTGAAAGGGTAACACTTTTGTTCCATGTGCAACCCTCTTTAAAACAAGCACTAACATCAACGGCAGAATATTATTGCCCTACCTAAACAGAAACCACAAACATTGCACATTCATGCCGTATATTATTCTATGACTTGAATCCAGCTTTTCATGCATGGCATACAGTACACACAGATGAGCTTATTCAAGGCCTCCTGGTGTTTACACAAAATTTTCCGTGTACATAAACGGAACTTATATTTCTATAATATGAAAAATACAAAAAATCGTCTCGCTGCGAAGCAGTCGATCTATTGAATTTAGTTCGCTGTTTGTTATTGATTTAAATCACTTGTTGTGTGTACTCGTACTACACGTTTTAAGGACCAGGAAGCAATTGCACTGTTATTGTGGTGCTTCGGTGGTAGCTATACCTTTTCGTATAAGGACCCGAAGGAAGTGAGTATGAAGATATCTACGGAGATAAATATGTTGTCTGTTTTACAAGCATTCTCTTCAAACTGATTAATAGATTGCATTTACCTCAACATTGCCAAAAACGGTAGTGTGAGGATTTTAGCCGATCAAGGACCTCCAGAGTTTCGACGATTTGCAGGTAATACATGGATAATTTCCTTTTTTCACAACATTTTTTTCTTCATTATTTCATAGAGATATAGCATCACATGTTCGAAATAGTCTTAGGAGGCAGCAATGCCGCATACATATACATTTATAATGTATAATAAGAAGTAGGTACACGGTTTTGTTTGGGCCGATTTTTAAATTGTGTAAGAAAAATCCTCAATAGGTGACTACTGTTTCAAATACGTTTTTAGTTCTTCGGAAGACTTACAAGCGTGTGTTCCCGCAAAGAAATGCCTTTTATGTGTTTATACCTATATTGAATTTACGTGCTTTGAAACCTAAATGTTGTTTGGTGGTATGTTACCTTAGCAATTAAGCGATGCGTGGTAAATGAGCTTTAGATGTGATTTGAGGTTTAGAATATGTTTTTATTTGTTGTTTGAGGGAGCGTATAACAAAAATATACATATAATACCAGGACACAAAAAACAACATGATGATGATCAGTTGTTCTGATGCCATATTTATATTGATTACAATAAATAAATAATAGTGATAGTAATAATGATAACAATAATCATAACAAAAATGATGGTGTTGATGATAATAATAATGTGTCTTGTTTATCTACGGTAGCCTCATAATTATGAGTAGTTTTCGTCGTGAGCGCCTTGCAATCATATAGTAACTCGGCTTTGTTGTTGTTATTATCATTATTATCATTACCATTGTCATTATTATGATTATAAGTATCCTTATTGTCATTATTGATATAATTATTACAATTGTTATAATAATAATTGTTATTATAAGTGTTATTGTATAAGTTTAATTATATTTATTATCATTATTATCATTATCATCATCATCATTATTATTATTAATATCACGTCCAAAGAATCATGTATAACAGGTCAGGACTTTTATCAAACAATTTTGAATATTAAATTACAATCTGACATTATGAGATTTGAATCTGTATATAGATCACAAACAAGTAAAACCATTCAGGAAATCATGTTTTCTAAATGAAAACAGTCATTTTATCGTCATCAAATAATACATTGTTATTGCCAGTGTGTTATTATTTGTTATCAATTTATTTTCATCACTAATATCATTTTAACGAGTATGAACAATTCAAAGTTAAGCATGTCCCAGGGTGTTAAACAGCAAATTGTCCTATCAAATTATCTTAACGTTATCGCATGTGTTTTCAATTTCTTCATTGAACCCGTACTATTCTAATGTCAGAAATTTATCTAAGAAAGTAATGCACTGTAGCATTTGTATATAGATGCCCGTTTCAAAATATGAATTCATTGTGTAACATTTTACCCATGACTTTACCCATATTCATCAGTAAACTGCACATTCAAAAAGTCTCATAAGTATTTAAACGATCAATTATCCAACAAATAAAGATAATCTTAATCAAAATTGATTTTCAAACTTTTGACAGGTTTATAGGCATGTAGGTATCAACTCTTATCGATGAAATATAATTGAGGTTTGAAAACGACTCGTATCAAGAATTCATTGAATAAAACTAAAAGCGACAATTGATGTCATAATGCTAATGTTTTCTGTTTAGGACTTCACTTGAGGACTGACAATGGAAAGCTCATCTGTAGGAAATGCCCTTTACTTTGGACTTCTGGTCCTCCTTTTCCAGTTGAATGCTGTTATAAGCAGTAAGTATTATGGACAAATACATAAACAAAGTTTGTTAATGGAGTTGTCAAAGTTTAGTAATTCATTCACTTGACTCTTAATGCAAGGGTTGAGGGTTCGAATTCAAGTCCGGCACTTTCTGAAGACATTAATTCACACTTGCCACTCTCTACCAAGGTATAGCTGAGTACCTGGCAAATGATGATATGATGCTGACGAAAATTATTATCACAATCTGCGGTTAACAGTAAATATACACTGAGGAGAATTATATCAAGCTCATATATGACACAGGAAAATAGATGACAACAGTCATACCTGTGTGATCAATTTCGAGCTCCATGGATTTTTGTTCGTATTAAAAAGAAATGTATATCTAAAAAATCCATGTTATGTGTATTATTTTGGGAAAAAAGTGAATTAGTTTATCATATCTTTGGAGTAATATGAAAGAAGAGAATATGACACATCCCATGAAGTATAAAATATGTTTTAAAAAATGAGCAAAAAAAAGAAAAATATTTGCATCTATTGAGTAATTATCGCATAAATTAGGATTTTCTTTTTTCCAGGGAGACCCATTTTTTCTTCGAAGTCAACTCTGTAGTGCACTTATTTTGACGTTATTTTAAGCATTTTATTTCTTTTTAATAAAAATAAGTTCCATGATAACTAGGTACCTTCAATCGCTTCATAAGTAGCAGGAATTCAGTTACACAGCGACCTCGACAGGTTTTTGTTATTTTGTCTTATCTTATGTTATTCTGTGAACAAGAGCTCCTTTTTTCAATGAACATGTACATGTACATAATGCAAAATTACTTGTTTTTCTTTTTCTTTTTCTCTTAAACTTACAATTCATTAGTTGATGTTTCTTGCTTTTCTTTGCTATTTATTTTTGTAAAATCGGAGCATTTCGTTTTATTTCATTTCATTTCATGTTCTTTATTCGCTTAAAATTCAAAAGCACATATTGATAATTAAGGTTACAAAATTTAAGTTAACATGGGTTAACAAAATATAAAACATTCATACAAACAGAGTTCAGTTATATTGCAGAGATGCAATGCCTTTAGAGAGAGAGAGAAGCAAAAATAACAGTGATAGTTTTGCAAGTAAAATACATTTTTAAAAGGAATCTTGTTTGAACAATGACCCCCCCCCCCCCTCCCCCACATGTCTTAAACAAAAGGAAAGCATAATCGTAAATCATAAATACATTTACTAAATAAACTGTCAAATTTCATTTTTTTTTTTAGAGCCTTACATGTAAACAACTTTTAAACAAGCATTAGGAAATTATTTCATATGTTTTTCGTCAAATCACCCAACAATCAGATAACATGCACAATATTTGATAGAATCTACAAAAAGTGAATCTACTCACTGTAGCCGTCAACTATGCAGCTCCTTCATAAGGAATATAATTTACATAACAAACCAGACACAATTCGAACAATCCTATTTTTTTAATAAATATTTCCTTCCTTCTTTCTTTCTTTCTTTAACATTGAAAGCGCTATGGTACTTTTTATTGTATAGCCCAGTATAAATTAACAATGTATTCGGCGCGTTATAAATGTGATCTATTATTATTATTATTATTATCATTGTAATTATCATCATTATTAATATTATTATTATTACTATAACATTGATATAAAAGGAATATTTCAATATTAGAATTGTTTATACAATGCGAGATCTTTGTTATTGTATCTAGCCGACAAACTGTTTGTAGCCGATGGAGCACTGGGTCAGATCTTCTTGGCGGAGACTGACGGGGACTCCTTCCTTGCATCACCGCTTACTCCCCTGAATCTGACCATCAACGAAGCACCGATAGGTCTTGATTACGACTATCGCTCCGACATGATATACTGGAGTGACCAAGACACGCACACCATCCACCGATCTACTCTCAACGGATCATTTCAGGAAGTTATTGCTAGTGGTACAATCGGTAAGAATACCCTCCGTTGATGTTGTTTATTTAAATCTAAAGCTATGGGCACAACCCAAAAAAGTAGCCTGCTCGGCGGCCGGGCGTTGGGTTTTGTTTTGTTAACTGCCATGGTTGTCACATCCACCACTTGTCAAAACGAGCATATTCTGATAGCTGAAGGTAGTAGATAACAAACATGTATAATTTGATGTTGTTTGTTATTCCGTTTGTTTTATATTTTATATAGATTTTGTACATTTTTTTTGTGGGGGGGGGGGTTCAAAGATAAAAACTTCATTAACATTCCCTTTCAATGGAAACGGCCTCATTTGTTTTTACTTGAAATGGCTCAAGTTTTAATTATGATCAAACGAACAGCTAAAATTTTGAAATGCTTACCATATGTTTCGTGTTGTTGAAAATCAAAGTATTCTCTAAAATTCCAACATTTCTTAATTTGTTTTCATTGTAACTGCCCAGCGCTCACGTCCGTCACTGTATGTCAACCATTAAGTAGACCGTCATTTAATAGTTTTTCAAATTATTTTTTAGGTTTTTGTCGTTTTGTTTTTTTAATTTTTAAACATGTATTGACATACTTGATAATTATGATGATAATTATCACACAATAGGTTTATTCCTGGACTTATCCAAGGCCTTCGATACAATAGATCGCACAATACTTCTACATAAATTCTACCATTATGGTATTAGAGGGAAGGCGTTGGAGTTGTTTAGGAGTTATCTTTCGAACAGAAAACAATTTGTTATAATTGATAACCACAAATCTTGTGAAAGAGAAGTCAGTTGCGGGGTGCCCCAGTGTTCGATCCTCGGTCCAATTCTCTTTATCATCTATGTCAATGACATCTATAGATCATCGCAAACATTAACATTTATATTGTTTGAGGACGATTCAAATATATTCTTTTCTCATCAAGATCCACATCAACTAATACAAATTGTAAATACCGAATTAAACAACGTAGCTAAATGGTTTAGAGCCAATAGACTATCTCTGAATCTAGACAAAACCAATTGTATGCTGTTCAGTAATACTCTTTCTACAATACCAGAAAATATCATTATGAATGATTTGGTTATAAATAAGTTGAATCAACTAGATTTTGTGGGTGTCATGATCGACGATCAACTGTCATGGAAAACACAAACACAATACCTTTGCAAAAAAGTATCTAGAAACATTGGTATTATTAACAAACTGAAGCATTTTTTTCGCTTGGAAGACCCTTCATTCATTGTACTGCACTCTGATTTTATCTAAATTGAACTATGGTATTCTTCCCTGGGGTACCTGCAATAGATCTCACCTAAATATTTTTAATAAAAGATATCGTGCTCACATCAACCCATTATTCCTCCAAAGCAAATCCCTGACAAAATATGATTTAAACTCGTACAATCTTGGTAATTTTATGTATCAACTTGAGATAAATTTTCATCCCCCTCGCACGAAAACAGTTACTTTAAAAAAAACATTCATTTATACTGGACCCAAACTTTGGAATTCACTCAACCCAGCTCTCAAATCGAACCCTGCACTTACCACGTTTAAAGGTATTACAAAGTTTGGGTATGGAGTCATTGACTTGGTTCAATGAACATATTGGAAGCAAATGTTCGAGTCTAAAGTTATGAAATTGTAAATAATAAACGCTTTATGTTGTATAGCTTCCTCTCGAGTTCAAGATATTAATAAACCTATAAAACAATATATCTTGACTAAAATCGACCGATTAGCTATTCCCGTTTGGAAATTATATATCACAACTACATATTCTGAGATTTTCATGGTCGCATTTACCATTGTAAGGCCGTAGGAGCTATTTGAAATTTATCAAAATTTACCGGGAGCACTGGTAAATATTTATATTCAATTTTTTCACGAAAGCAGAAGTGTTTTAGGGGATAAATTGTCTAGTGCTTATAATACATCCACAGGGGTATCCAAATATATCAAAATTTTAAAGAATCACTACCCACCCAATCTTCAAAATTTCCCAAAACTTTGTATTATCTTTAAACGTAAACTCAAGCATTCCCTGTTGAACAGCTACCATAACCATGATACGTAAACACGCCTTTCTTTCTTTTTTCATTACTCACCGCACTCTCTGGAAATACTTTCTATTTACCAACAGTTAAAGACGGCTTTATATCTATGCTAATACTTCTCTGATATCTCTGACCCCCCCCCCCCCTCCCCCTCTAGCTCTCTCCCTTTTCCCCTTTTTCCCGCTTGTTCACAACATTCCCATTTTGTCTTTCTATCCCTTGTTTTTTCTGATTTGTTAATGTGTTTTTCTTACTTTCCATTCCCGTTTATCATCTTTTCTTACGTACCTTTTCTCTTTTATTAATCGGTTTCCTTGCAATTACTCTTTCTTTGCTCACAAAAAGTGCTAAAGTAAGCACTGATCCTTTTATTTAATGCCTGTACATTTGGTTATGCTGAGGAAAGCTCAGAACTTTTCCAATATTTCATAACTGTAAACGCTATGTTTAGTAAAACAAAATACGTCACCGTAAAGTTAATACAAAGTTTTGGGAAATTTTGAAACTTGGGTGGATAGTGAATCTTTAAAATTTTGATATATTTGGATGTCCCTGTGGATGTATTATGAGCAGCTTAAAAAATTAGCCCCCAAAACACTTCTATTTTCGAGAAAAATTGAATATAAAAATTTACCGGTGCTCCCAGTAAATTTTGATAAATTTCAAATAGCGCCCATGGCCGTACAATAGTAGATGCGATCATGAAAATCTCAGAATATGTAGTTGTGATATATAATTTCCAAACGGGAAAAGCTAATCGGTCGATTTTAGTCAAAAAAACATGGTTTTATAGCTAAATTAATATATTTACCCTGAGAGGGAGCTATACAACATAAAGAGTTTATTATTTATAATTTCATAACTTTAGACTCGATTTCAACCGCGACAACGATCAATGATGATTGTAGGAACGCATATGCTTCCAATATATTAATTTGAACCAAATTCATGACCCCATACCAAAACTTTGTATTACCTTTAAGATAACCCTAGTTTAATAATATGCTTTGGTAAATACATTACGTTTATTTAGATATCCTAATTTAATTTATATACTTAAATGCATTAATTGGGACCTACATTATACAAGCTTTGCTTTTTAGTAGATCCCCCCCCCCCTTTATTTATCTCTTTTCAATGTAATTATCATACTTATGAATGTATCTTTTGTTATATCTATTACCAGATACATTATGTTCTTATATTGTATGATTAGTTATGATTATCATTATGTATATAATGTTCAATCATGTTATTTTTTGTGATAAAGTGGAAATAAATAAACTTGAAACTTGAAACTTTCATTGTGCTTTAACTTACAATTAGCAAATATATGAAATTATTTTAATTGTAATGGTGTTGATCCTTAACATGTTAATAGCCCTTGTAGTATCGCGAATAACGCATGAAAACTCAGATGTGACTAAACCCAAATGTACGAAAGAAAACATATAATGATAAGTATCATATACATTGACACCAGTCTTTCATTAAAAAAGAATATCATCCCAAATAAACTTTGTCCATTTTGTATCACTCAATGAAAAGGGTTACCGTAAACAAGGGATGCGAATGTAATCAAGATTGAGGAAGAGAATATCATAAAGTTTGGTTGTAATAAGCATTTCCTTGAGTTCGAGTTGATATTAATACGTTTTCTTTTCAATAGCCCATGTAAATAAGTCAGCAATTGTTTTTTCGAATAAGATGAAACACACATAGTTCATTTTAACCCACATTCACTGCTTCACATCAAACTTGGTAGACGAGCATTTCGACAACACTTTTTGAAAAACATGCTACTCCGTCATCCGTAGCAGCAGAATTATGAATTTGATATCATTATACAGGGAAAACGTTACTCTGTACCTTCATGTATCGGTCACATAGGTTATAACTTTTCAATTAGATGCTACCAAAGTTGGGTATGCTTTTGTCTATATACGCACTGTGTATGCCCGTATTTACAAAGGAGAATTATATTAAAACATGGTTTAACCACCGTAAATATTGTATGCGTATGTCCTCATGTCCAATTGACAATTATGCCTATTTTAGTTCATATTCATGGCCCCTTTAAGCTATGGTCACAACTGAGAGCGGTGACCGACGGATTAGTAGCCTGCTCGGTCGCCGCTGGAATTTAGGCATCGGCTCCTACGGCCTTACGATGGTAAATGCGACCATGAAAATGTCAGAATATGTAGTTGTGATATATAATTTCCAAACGGGAATAGCTAATCGGTCGATTTTAGTCAAGATATATTGTTTTATAGGTTTATTAATATCTTGAACTCGAGAGGAAGCTATACAACATAAAGCGTTTTGTTGTTGTTGTTGTTTTTAAACATGTATTGACATACTTGATAATTATGATGATAATTCTCACACAATAGGTTTATTCCTGGACTTATCCAAGGCCTTCGATACAATAGATCGCACAATACTTCTACATAAATTATACCATTATGGTATAAGAGGGAAGGCGTTGGAGTTGTTCAGGAGTTATCTTTCGAACAGAAAACAATTTGTTATAATTGATAACCACAAATCTTGTGAAAGAGAAGTCAGTTGCGGGGTGCCCCAGTGTTCGATCCTCGGTCCAATTATCTTTATCATCTATGTCAATGACTTCTATAGATCATCGCAAACATTAACATTTATATTGTTTGAGGACGATTCAAATATATTCTTTTCTCATCAAGATCCACATCAACTAATACAAATTGTAAATACCGAATTAAACAATGTAGCTAAATGGTTTAGAGCCAATAGACTATCTCTGAATCTAGACAAAACCAATTGTATGCTGTTCAGTAATACTCTTTCTACGATTCCAGAAAATATCATTATGAATGATTTGGTTATAAATAAGTTGAATCAACTAGATTTGTGGGTGTCATGATCGACGATCAACTGTCATGGAAAACACAAACACAATACCTTTGCAAAAAAGTATCTAGAAACATTGGTATTATTAACAAACTGAAGCATTTTTTGGCTTGGAAGACCCTTCATTCATTGTACTGCACTCTGATTTTATCTAAATTGAACTATGGTATTCTTGCCTGGGGTAACTGCAATAGATCTAACCTAAATATTTTTAATAAAAGATATCGTGCTCACACCAACCCATTATTCCTCCAAAGCAAATCCCTGACAAAATATGATTTAAACTCGTACAATCTTGGTAATTTTATGTATCAACTTGAGATAAACGATCTTCCTAAAATATGAACGCAAATGTTTTTAAAAAACCAGGAAATTCATAGCTACCTAACCAGGCAGTCAAATCATTTTCATCCCCCTCGCACGAAAACAGTTACTTTACAAAAAAACATTCATTTATACTGGACCCAAACTTTGGAATTCACTCAACCCAGCTCTCAAATCCAACCCTGCACTTACCACGTTTAAAGGTATTACAAAGTTTGGGTATGGGGTCATTGATTTGGTTCAATGAACATATTGGAAGCAAATGTTCGAGTCTAAAGTTATGAAATTGTAAATAATAAACGCCAACGATTTTTGGAGAAGTCGAACAGGCTGTAGAAACCAAGCGATGCCTGGGCAGTGTCCTTTCGATTTTCCTTCGGTCGCCGGTCGATTTTAGGTCAAAACTGGGCAAAATCGGGGAGCTTCTCCAGGCGGCGTCCCGGCATTGACCGACTAATGACCCACCGATTCCCGAGCAATCTCCCATCGGCCACTGGCTGATTTTAAAGAAATTGCCCGGCGGCCGGCCGCTGATCGGCGGGGCTCAAAAATACGCTCGGTGCCGCCCGGGCATCGACCTAATCGAGCGTTCGCCGTCGAGCGATTTAGGTCAAGAATCTAAGCCGCTAGGTCAAAGGCTGCCGACCAATTTTAGACTCGCCGCCCAGTGACCGACTAATCTCACAGCGGCGACTACTTGGCAGCCCTTGACCTAGCAGCTTTGATTTTTGACCTCAATCGCTCGACGGCGAACGCTCGATTAGGTCGCTGCCCGGGCGGCGATCGCAAGTGCACCGAGCTTACTTTGGGCGGCGAGTGAAAGTGAGCAGGCGCCGCCCGAATTTTAACTCCGCGCTAAAACTTCAGCATCGACCGAGCGATGCCCCAAAAACAAGCGGTGTCCGGGCGAAATTGGCTCAAAACTCACCGCTCGGCCGCCGAGCAGGCTACTTTTAGTTGTTGTGACTATAGCTTGAAATTAAAAATGGGATTAATCGTAAAACTGCAAAGGCCAATTAAAATCATCGTTGCATACACATATTGTTCAAAAGACTGCTATCAACCAATAAGAAGCGTAGTTTCGAATTTGCAAATGATCGCAAACCTTAGTGTTAATGTTACGGGGGTCCTGTTCTTTTGTTTTGGCCTACAGTTCCACATGGTATCGTGCTAGATCTGGAGGAAGACAAGGTGTTTTGGTTGTCAGCCGGTTCCGGGAACCTCTACCGGGCCAATCTTGACGGATCTAATCTTGAGATCCTGAATCCTGTATTCATGGTCCCACGTGGTATCACAATCTCCTACAATAGAAGGTATGCCCAGACGGTGAATGTACGTACAGCTTGTGTACCCGGATAGTTATTTAATTCAGCAATTTGGAGAAGTTTAGGGAGTTAGGGTAACCGCACGGCGTATTTTGTAATTATGGAGACAGAAAACCTGCGGCTGCCGTCAGGGCAGTCGCTAGACCTTTTTTAGTGGGGAGTGTAGAGGCCAACGATTGCCGGCAAAACTAGCCACCAATATCTAAAAATCAAACCCTATAAACCCGGGCCCTATAATTGTAAATTGTAAATTGTAAATTGGCCATAGATATTTTAGACCTCACGGCCGCCGCGGCAAATGTGACTTAGGCATTAGTAAAAATATGATTGAGTACTGGACATGTAATTACACTGTGAAAGGAATTGTCTGGAAGCAACTGGGAAAGGTTGATAATGAAGTACATAAGAATGGATGCACACTACCAATTATGTCTGGGAATATTATCATTTTTGTCTTATTACTCAATCTTGCTGAAATCTGTTTGCATTGCACACGGACATGGGTATGTAGAACTACACATACACATATGCGCTTAGAGACTTCGGTGGTAAGCGCTTTATAAGTAACGTTTTTATTATTATTATTATTATTATATGACATACATATTTGATCCAAATTTTTCACATATTTCTTCACAAGAAAAAGAGCAAGCAATACTTTTCTTCGCAGGACATTGATACTATGATGTTCTTCCTAACTGACAAATAAGAATACCAACAAAATATTTCTCAGCATTTCTCTGTAATACCCACTACCTGTTAATAGCATGCTACCAGGAACGTTGTTCATATAAACAAATGAATATACAATTTTATCAGTCTCTCCTCCAACTGTATCATATTCATTTTTGACTCGACGTATGCTCCTCCGAAAGGGTTGAATTTCTGCAAAGAGGTAGGGATAGGGTTAAGGATGCATCTGAAATTACTGGTAGATATAGGGAACGAGATAGGGTTATTTCAGTCCAGGGCTAAAGTTCGGTTAAGGAAATATAGTTAACGTGGGATTCTGACGACTGAGCAGCTGTCATCAAAGCATCCGTCGCAAATATTTAATTTGTAGAAGTGTCGTGGTATAGTGGTTCATTCACTTGACTCTTAATTCAATGGTTCGAATCTCAGCCAGACACTGGCGTCTTTTGGCTGTCATTAATTCATATGTGCCACTCTCCACCCAAGTGTAAAAGGACCTGTCAATCACTTGTTTAATATTAAATGCAGGGCCCACAGGAAGAATAGGATTGAAGCTAATGAGGCTTTTGGGGGTAACAATTATTACTGCATCCATTAATGTTAAATAAAACTTGTTTCCTTTTAGGAGATTATAACATAAATTTATTGAACAACGCCACTGATACATTTGTCCAAAATTTTGTCGACACCCTCCTTACAGCTAGTTTTCTACCACTTATAACTAAGCCAACGAGGGTTACAGAAAACACTGCTACTCTTATTGATAATATTTTAACAAATGCTAATTTTTTTCTCCCAAATCTGGTATAATCTAGTATGAAATCTTTAGACCATTTCCCCATTTTTAATCAATTTCCAATTGAAAAAATTTCGCTGATGCATCCCAATGTCGAAGTTAAAAAACGTGATTTTTCTGAAGAAAATATTGTTAGGTTTGGACAAATACTCGGAACTACTGACTGGCCAGTGATATATCAAATTGATAATGTTGATCAATCTTTAGACACTTTTATGGATATTTTAAAAGATGCTTTTGATAGTAATAAAAAACGTAGTTACACAAAGACTCCTAGGAATCCCTGGGTAACGCAAGCTCTTTTACGTTCAATAAATCGAAAAAACAATTTATATTCAAAGTATAAATTTAAGCTATTGGATAAAGATAAGGTAAAATATACGGAATATAAGAACATATTAGTTACTACTTTGAGGAAAGCTAAACAAAAATATTTTTGTAAGCAGTTTGAACTATATAAAAATGACCTAAAAAATACTTGGAAGGTTATCAAAAGTGTTAGACACGGGAAAAGCAAGTCTTCCACAATTAAAAAGATTGATACCGAACTAATCCCGGAATATTTTAATGATTATTTTTCAAATATTGGTCTCAACCTTGCTCAAAAAATACCAGACTCAAATAAGCATTTCACTGACTTTCTTGGAACCTCAAATTCACTTTCTATATATTTTACGCCAGTTCTTGAAAGTGAAATTATAAATATAATTAACGGATTAAAGAATAAGCGGAGTTCTGGACATGATGAAATAAGCAATTATCTCCTGAAAAAATAACCCTTGATATTGTCCAACCTTTAGTTTATATTTTCAATCTATCGTTTACAACTGGGATGGTGCCTCAATCGATGAAATTGGCAAAAGTTGTTCCTGTCTCCAAGAAAGGAGATCCTTTAGAGTTAGGAGACTACAGACCTATTTCCTTGCTGACATCCTTATCTAAATTTCTTGAAAAAATTGTATATGCTCGTACTGTAAAATTCTTTTGTGCTAGTAATATTTTCTATCAGGCACAGTCTAGCTTCCGTGAAAAGCATAGTACAACACATGCCCTTTTGACTCTAATAAATAAGGTGGCTCGCTCTATTGACAATTTCGAACATACGGTTGGGGTTTTCTTGGACTTCTCTAAGGCGTTTGATACGATTAATCACGAAATACTTCCTTACAAACTTCTAACTACGGAATCAGAGGATTACCCTTAGAGTGGTTCAAGAACTACCTCCACAATAGAAACCAATACGTTCTCATAGACGATGCACATTATTCTATAAAGACCATTGAATGTGGCGTGCCTCAAGGTTCTATTTTAGGTCCGTAACTTGTTATTGTTTATATTAATGATTTTTACATGTCTTCAACAACCCTGTCTTTTCTTTTGTTTGCTGACGACCCTAACATTTTCTTTTCTCACAAAGACCCAGAAATTTTACTGAGAACGGTTAACTCTCAATTACGAGAAGTTGCTGACTGGATCAAGGCAAATAAATTGTCATTGAATTTACTAAAAATCAAATATATGTTTTTTAGTAATATTATTGATAACTTACCAGGAAATATTGTACTTGGTAATACTGTCATACAAAAAGTCTCTTCTACGAAGTTCCTGGGAATAATAGTAGATGATAAACTTTCATGAAAGCTGCATGTTGTTAATGTTTGTAAAATCATCTCTAGGTAAAAAAGGTAAAATAGTTTTTTCCATCTCGTATACTGCTTGATTTATACTCAACTTTAGTACTTCCTTACTTGAATTATGGAATACTTGCGTGGGGCACCTGTGGAAATACTCAACTCAATAGAATTTTACTATTGCAAAAGAAAGCAATGCGAATCATTTGTCACACCAATTTTTTTTGCGCTCAAACTAATGAACTCTTTCACGCAAATAATGTTTTGAAGATTCATGACTTATTTTCCTATAACTTGGGTATATTTATGTATACACTAGAAAAAAATGAATTGCCACAAGTTCTCTCAAATATGTTTAACAAAAATACTGAATTTCATAGTTACCCCCACGAGAATAGCAAAATGTTATCACCTACCAAAGCCAAGAACGCAATTTTCCAGCAGGATTTTCACTTTCACTGGCCAAAAATATTGGAATGCCCTTCCTGACACATTACAAGAAAAGCCCTCATTAGGGGCAGTTACACTGTCATCCAAACACGCCAAAAAATGCCAAACCGGAGCCTGGCCGCGATGTTACCAAGGGCAACTACGCTTTACCGGCAGACATGCCAAGCCCCAAACATTCCAAAACGAAGTGTGATCTTTTGGCGTGTTTTGGCGTGTTTTGGCGTGTTTGGCAAGTATAACCGCTCGCAGTTGTAACATCGCGATGTTAGGCACGTGACTTCCGGCACTTCCGGATTGTTACCCGCGCTCTTTTAAACCACGTTCTTCCCGTGTGATATTTATAGCATTTCCATCGTCGCGCGTGTTATCCGTTCATTCAGCTCCGTTTGTTCCAATTCCGTTAACTCATCCTTTATTCAATCTTCGTTATTCCCGTCTGGCCATATCTGTCTAGTAGTAGTATTTGAGTGTTTTGTTAGATTAATTAATATTGAAGTGAACAATTCCCATTGGACTGATGATGAGATGAAGTTCTTGATTTCGATGTGGAGGCAGGGAGAGCTCCTCCACCAGACTTCCAAGCGTCCCTGCAAACGTGGGGAAAAGGGCTTCAGAGAAATGAGTGAAAGCATGAAATTAACAATTAACAACGATGATTTTCTTAACCTTCCCATATCGTTTTTACTACTAGATTTCGATTGAATTTGGGAAAACTGAATCAGCAGCCGTAGTCCGTACTTCGTAACTTATCCACTCTTGCCTCAAATACTACACGCGAGATAAACAAAACATATCGCATGCATGCGCATGGGATGTATCGCTATTTAGCTAGCTATAGCGCTAGCTGGAAATTGCGCGCGCTAAAAATCTTATAGCAGGCCGGGGTCAAAGGTCGGGAAGACTGCACATGCGCATTACCAACCGAAACACGCCAAAACATCGCTGAACAGCTCCGTCGGTGATGTTTCAGCACAAGTGTAACCGGGTGCACGAAACATCGCGACTTTTCAAAATGAGGTATTTGACAGTATAAATGCGCCTAATAAGTGGTTTAAGAAATGCCCTCAAGCACTTTTTGTTGCAAACGAATCAGAATAAGTAGTCCCCTCTCTTTACACTGTCTTCCAAACACGCCAAAAAATGCCAAACCGGAGCCTGGCCGCGATGTTACCAAGGGCAACTACGCTTTACCGGCAGAAACGCCAAGCCCCAAACATTCCAAAACGAAGTGTGATCTTTTGGCGTGTTTTGGCGTGTTTGGCAAGTATAAACGCTCGCAGTTGTAACATCGCGATGTTAGGTAAAGTGACTTGAGGAGCGGGGCTAGATGTCGTCCTTTTGAAGACAATGATAGAACGATTAATACAAAGAATAACATAAGAGAAGGTGACAGAAGGAAGAAACTAAGAATAACATAAGGATAGACAGAAAGAGAAAGTGATAGAAGGAAGAAACAAAGAATAACATAAGGATAGACAGAAAGAGAAAGTAATAGAAGGAAGAAACAAAGAATAACATAAGGAAAGACAGAAAGAGAAAGTGATAGAAGGAAGAAATAAAGAATAACATAAGGAAAGACAGAAAGAGAAAGTGATAGAAGGAAGAAATAAAGAATAACATAAGGAAAGACAGAAAGAGAAAGTGATAGAAGGAAGAAACAAAGAATAACATAAGAAAAGACAGAAAGAGAAAGTGATAGAATGATTAAAAAACAAAGAATAACATAAGAGAAGGTGATAGAAGGAAGAAACAAAGAATAACATAAACAAAGAATAACATAAGAGAAGGTGATAGAAGGAAGAAACAAAGAATAACATAAGGAAACACAGAAAGAGGGAGTGATAGAATGATAAAAAACAAAGAATAACATAAGAGAAGGTGATAAAAGGAAGAAATAAAGAATAACATAAGGAAACACAGAAAGAGAAAGTGATAGAAGGAAGTGATAAAGAATAACATAAGAGAAGGTGATAGAAGGAAGAAACAAAGAATAACATGAGGAAACACAGAAAGAGAAAGTGATAGAATGATTAAAAAACAAAGAATAACATAAGAGAAGGTGATAAAAGGAAGAAATAAGCAAATAATTACCGTTGGTGAAGGTGATGGGACAAATTATATACCTCACTTAAGAAATCCAGCCATCTGATTGGTCGAATTGCATTCATAAACTTCAACTGTTCCTGTAAAATTCTCGGTAACCATGCATAAAACATTTCAATATTTTTAATAACCATGGTTATTAAAAACAGTTGGTCAGCCTCCATGGTTACCCCATAGGTTTACATGTTAAAAAATGGTTTGAGCGATGGAGGATGCCGTATGTGTGCGAAGGATTGGTCGGTAATTTCAATACAATTGAATCTCGATCGATCTTACCGACAATTTTATCTTGCATTGTTGACATGAAGACGAAAATAAACTTCCAAAAACAAAAAACAACATCTGCCGATAGATCTTGATCTAAGTTCGTGCCAATATGCATTGCAAAAGTAAAAGAAGAGTCCGTATATGGAGCTTTTGCGAAGCATTCATCACACGCGAAGCCGGTTTCAATCCATTTTAATGTATATATTGGAAAAAACTGCCAAGCATGTTGAAGGCGGGCCGTAGCCGAGTGGTCTAAGGCGTTGGTTTTCGGTACACCACTTGTTGCACGCAAGGGTTCGACTCCCGTCTTCGACAAAATGATAAATATTTTTCATTTTTCATTTTTTAGTCTATTTTTTTTCGGCATATAAAAGTATTAATGACTGCTTTAATATTCGAGAAATAGTTGTTTTATTACGCTCTCGGGAAGGTTACAATTGGGCTATTCCCCTCGGCAAGCCTCGGGGAATAGCACAATTCTAACCTTCCCTTGAGCGTAATAAAACAACTATTTCTCTCAAAGCAGTCATTAATACTATACTATCACTTCCGAGGCGATCTGGATGTAGCTATCTTTCCGAAGCTAAGCTGAGGAAAGATAGCGTATACATGCTGATCGACGAGGAAGTGATAGTTTGCCATCGCCTGAAACAAAAAGGTGATTATTCGCTTTATATTACACATCTATAACAATTTAACTACAAAAAGAAAAGGACGTGTATGCATTTACATAAAAGACACCTAGGCCCAAATTCATACCAAAAAAGTTTAAGTTTAACCCAACCCCTTGAGGGTACGGTGCGCGCATGTGTTTTCTTTAATTGCGCTCAATGGTAATGCGCGCTTAATTACGCCTGTTTTAGTGCGCTTTTGGATAATCTTCAGTGAAAGTGCGTTGCCCTTTATAGATAGTACCTCTATCTTCAGTGAAAGTGTGTTGCACTGTGTAGATAGTAGTACTATCTACACAGTGTAACGAACTTTTTGCTTCTCCCATCAATAATGGGCGAATTATCTTTCATCACGTTATTTACTTTTGACCAATCGTAGAGCAAGATTCTTAGTATGTGGAATATAATAAAGAATAACATAAGGAAACACAGAAAGAGAAAGTGATAGAATGAAGTGATAAAGAATAACATAAGAGAAGGTGATAGAAGGAAAAACAAAAAATAACAAGGAAAGATAGAAAGAGGAAAGTGTTTGCATCGGAGTGCCGCGCATGCGCATTACCAACTGAAACACGCCAAAACATCACTGAGCTTTTCAGTCGGTGATGTTTCCGCACAAGTGTAAACGGCTGCGCGAAACATCGCGACTTTTCAAAATGAGGTATTTGACAGTATAAATGCGCCTTCTGTCTCTTTCTCTGTCTCCCTCTCTTTCTCTGTCTCCCTCTACCCCCTCTCTCTGTTTTCTTTTTCTCTTCCTGCATGTTTTCCCCCTTTTCTGTTTTTTACTCTCTCATTCTCATTCTTATATTCTTCATTTATCATTATTATCTTGTCATTCTGCTATTGTTTCTGATTGTTTTATTTGTCTCGTTTAATCGTTTGTTTTTCTATTGTCTGTCATAATTTTTTTTTTTTTTTTTTTTGATTCCGTAATTTTTTTCTTCAAAATTAGGTTATAAATGTATGAAGTATAATTATTATTCTGCGAGCCTTCATCTAACAAGCTTTGTTTTCAACTAGGTTCGTTTTTTTTTCTTCATTTCTTGTAATTAAATCATTTTGCATTACAATGACTAAAAAAACAATGTCAAAGATATTTCAATGCTTGTTTCTGTTATATTATTGCGTTTATTATTGTTTGTTATTGTTTATATCATGTGAAAAGAAATGGAAAATAAATTCGCTCTGTATAGAGCTACTACTAACACAAATGAGCATTATTAGTTTTATCATTCACATCAATTTCTATCTACATCAATTTTACTAGAAAGCTTTATATTACAACGCGTCTGTCTTCACCTGCTATCAGAAGCGTGAACACTGATGGGACTAATGACGTTGTTCTCATCGACACAGATATCGCATCGCCAAGTGGCATAGCCTTCAATTTCCAAGGTAAATGTTTTACTTTTATTTTCAAAATTAGTACGCTACTCTGGTACCAAGACAGTTGGCCTGAGTGAATAATTTGTCAAACGCAAATTCAGCTTGCATGCTTGTATCTTTACTATCTTTAGTTCTTTTTTTTTGGGGGTGAAAGTGTCATTACGAAAATGCAGAGACCACCCTATAAACGGATGTCAAAACCTGGTAATATCTTAAGTGTACTTTGATAGTTTTACTGTTATTGTCACAGTTATGTTAATCCACCTGTAATGTAGTTTACTTTTCAGAATTGCGTGACCAGATTTTGTTTATATAACCTTCATGTGTGTGTGTGTGTGTGTGAGTGCGTGTGTGAGTATGAGTCGTGATCGCATTACGGATTATGATAAAAATGTAAAAATCGGCCAAAACAAAATTGTTTGCTTCTATCGGTTCGTTGACGAGAGAGTTGTATAACCATAAATGTTTTACAATTTCCTGCCACAGAGCGGTTATTGTCGTTTGATTTGTTGCAACTTAGCATTGGGGAACGTCGGTCGTATTTACTTTCATGTGGCCCTACATGATGACTTTCGCGTGAAATGAGGGAAATGAAAATAAAAACTTTTGCATGTCATTCTAAAGGCCCTTTTACACTTTCACGGATCGCATCACGGACCATCCCGGATCGTCGCTCCGGGATCATCCGTGTTATCTCCGGCATTACCGTGTATACACCGGGGAGGCATCCGGCGTGATCCTTGGCGTACCGGCATATCCGGGGAAAAAATTAAGCTTGCTTAATTTTTCATCCCAGAGTTCACGGATGAAAAACAATGCGTCCTCTTCCCTGTAGGCACCGTGTACCTCCGTGTAGCCGCCGAATACATCCGGGACATTCCGTGTAGACACCGGGAGGTCCGTATTAACACCGGTTTCATCCGGGTTTGAAATTCCGTATATTTTGCCGAGAAGATAAATGATCAAATGAGCGCCTACAAGCTCAAGTCACCCGTCAACATTCCGGAGATATCCCAATAGACAACGTACACCTCCGTGTAAGGACCGTAAAAGTACCCAGTAGCCTTCGTGCTCTTCCTTGAAATCCGTGTTAGCTCCGTATGCGTTTCCGGCGTGGTCCGCGTTGCTACCTTGTCTGTCCGTGGAGACACCGTACTTGCCCGTGTATACACCCAGTTCGGAACGTATCCACACCGGCATCGAGAAGAAATCGCCGGAACACCCCGGATTAAGATCCGGGATGATCCGTGATGCGATCCGTGAAAGTGTAAAAGGGCCTTAAGGTAATGGCGTATGCTAGCGCAATTTGTGTTTACCCTCTTTCACAGAGCAACGCCTATACTGGGCAGACGACTCTTTAGACAAAATAGAGTCTATGGATCCCGATAACAGCACCGATCGGATAATTCTGCTCTCCGTCACAGCAGGTTCAACACTTAATTTATTCCCTTTTGGCCTTGCTCTCCATTATGATGACGTCTACTTTAGTGATATCAACAGCGGATTAGTCATATTTGTTGATTCTTCTTCAGGGGAGGTTAAAACGTTGCCCTCTTTATTCAGTCTGCCGGTTGAAGTTCACATTTATATAGGTAAGCTTATTATTATTACTATTTTCTACAATTTTAATTCGACAAAATAGTCTCAATATAATGTCCATTTCCGAAATGGCTCTTCTCGAAGCCGCTTTCGTAATGGAATGTCTTATTCTAAAAGAGAAGATTGTCAGCTTTGAATTGATATGTGACTCCGTGGAATTAGACGAGAACATTTGACCTTTCTGACTATATGATAAACCTCAATCCTGCTCTAACTGCCAATGTAACCGATGTGTAGTGCATTGTCACAGCTATGCAAACCAAAGATAAGAACTCTTAAAATGCAGAAAATATGAAGCAGGAAACGTATGATATCATTATTTACTGAAATAATAACAATAAACAACAGCAATTGGACCGTTACGCGGTATTTTTCAAGAAAATAAATTGGCACCTAAAACCGATATGTGTTATATTCCTTTTGAAAAGGACTTTTTTAGAATGCAGCATGATTTATGTAAAGCATGATTAAGTCGTCGTTTCCCCCATGACTTTTATTGGCGGCATTTGTCGTAGTTTTATACGTAACCTTACCCCTGTTTAGTTTCTCTATCTTTTGAATATGACCTATTTTTATGAAATATTTTATGATCATGATCATGATATTTTATTACATGTTACTCTCATTTATTATGTTTTATTTTTATTATATTTTTTCTTCTCTTTTTTTTCTCCTTAAATTCTTAATAACTCTCCAATACAGATGTATGCGCAAATAGATGTCTTAATAACGGTAGCTGTGTGAGAAGTTTGACATCTGTAAAATGTTCTTGCCCTTTTGGATTCCTTGGGTCAAGATGTGAAATTGGTAAGTATAAAAGAAGCAGCACAATCTTTTTTCATTCGCTTGAACTGTTATAGATTGGTAAATACTTAAATAGCCGACGTGTTTGCCTTTAAGAGACATTGTACTGTGTCAACATGATTTCATAGTAAGAAGATTATTTCATAATAAGATGATCAATAAAGACATTCACAAAATCATTTTATAAATGTCAATAGCTTTTTCTATCACCTATCGATATGTGCAAAAATTACAATAATAATAACGTAACGTTTGACATGATTTACATGAGATATGCCTTATGGGATTGAAAGACCCCTCAAGTAGATTTCTCGAAAGGCTTTGCCATCGTGTTATATTTAATATTTAAACCTAATCCTTGTTAATACCCCATGTATTCATAACGGCAACAGAACATAAAAGCACGAGAGATAGATTCTGAGAAGGTAAATGAGAGTGAGGTGCATGTAAATGGCGTGATTTCAGGGGGAAGGGAGAATGATGCACAACCTACATGTAATATTAGCTACCTCAAGTAGCATTGGTGAAGAATACATCGTTTACAAGAAAAATGTTTTGTTTTACATGGTGATCTATATCTAAAACACCCGCCACTACAGACGTAAAGGACGAATAGCTTTTGGTAGACATGAAAACTGTTGATATGCAAAATAGCGTATTTATCATATCTTTATGATATACGTTATAATGTTGGAATATGGTGAGCCCAAATGATACTCAAAATATGATTTTTCTTTAATAATAGACATAAATTTTAATGTGAAATATTTGGGGTTTCAAATCTTCATGCTCGAAGCAATAATGTTGCCAATATAAGCCCGATGTTTTGTTATCCCAATATGATCCTACTCAATATTACAAACGTTGATGAAGAAAAAAATCGGATTGTTATCTTCGTCATATTAATAGAGAATGTCATAAAGATGTCGTGTGCTATACCAGGATGATATTTAAAATATGATTTTGTTTTGATCTTGGAAAATGGTAGTATGACACAGGCTCTTACGGTAAGTCATGAGCGGTAAATTTTTACCCTAACCGAAGTCCTTATTTCAACTTTGGACTAAATTTTAACCCTAACCTAAAACCCAATTGTTACACGTAACCCTATCGTTACACTTAACCTAACACTGTAATTTTGACAAGGGTTACCAGGGCAAAAATTATATGTCGGATCTCCGGAGAAAAGATATTTTTTCTTACCAGTTTCTGTCTTTTGTCGCAGATGCATGTACTAACAGATGCGTGAACGGAGGGACATGTGCTCCGTCTGAAAGAGGCTCCATATGCATCTGTCCTGAGGGATTCAGTGGATCTAAATGTAATTCAGGTAGGCCAATAGCTTACTATCACTTCTATACCTTGTTTCTTGTTGATTCCCACAACTCTGTTAGATTTACAAACTTGTAGAACCTCTGGAGCCTACAACCAATAATCTGCATTTTCCTCAGGCTCCCTCATATCCTCCTTTCCCTTGCTTCTTAGTCATTGATCTTCGAGTAAGTACAAATAAACTAAAGTGATGCGATGTATTAAATGTCATATGCAATCTGTATAATGTTTATTGAAATAAAGTGTTGGTCAAGGCATTGGGCATGACGTAGGGCAAGAAAGATAAAGTTTAATTCACTCTTCTCTCTTTAATTCTTTTATTTTCTTTCTTTCAATTTTTTTTATGGGGGTCCATAATTGTCTAAGGAACCTATATTTAATAATATAATAGGCCCTGTGCAGAATCCCTCTCTATATGTGTCTTTCTCACTTTGGTAGGAAGCTGTAGGATTCTTCGGAATCACAATTTCCATCTAGTCATTTATCGTGGCATTGAGAGATCGGGAGTGTTCAAGTGTTTAATACTTAGTGTTCGTGAAAATAAAATATTGGACTTTACACGTAAACGTTTCTTAGAGCCATGCACAAGTCTGGGTTTCAGCTTCTATATTTTTCTTTTTTATGTGCAGTACGTTGGAAATTATTAATCAAAACTTTAACGACTTTGATAGGTAGTTGGAAATATTTGAAGGTCTCTCTCACTTTTTATACTAAACAGAATCGAAATATGCACCTATGATTTTTGTGTGTGATGAGGAAGCTGGGGCTATCTTCGAAAGCAGTGCAGATTCCTTAGATTTCCGCCCGCTACCAATCTCGAATGTACATCGTCCTGTAGCTGTGGCCTATAGCCCAGAGGAGGACCTCATATTTTGGGTTGACGCCGAAAACGGCTCTCTTAATCGTGCATTCCGGAACGGTTCTGGTCACACTGAACAAGGAATGACCATTTCGGGTAAGGATTTTGACGTGGTTGGATATTACTTCTAACGAATTAAACTAGATCTGTGATTTACATTTCAGGAAGAGGTTGAAGAAATATTACTTGATTATTGCTCCTGTTGATTTAACACAGCGAACAATCATCTGGTGATAGCACGTTTACCATAACAGTCAATCCTGCATAGGCCTATATACAGTGCGTCCCAGAAAAAACGAAACCGAGAATATTGTTTCATCATAACTTAATCACATTTATATTTAATAAATGACACATATCTGGACAGCTTAGATCCTCCTTTTTCATTTGTTACAACTCATTATGATGTATATGTAGTAATGTGAGATTGTTGCCTCCTGTGGCTGGACCTGGGTTTGTTGCAGGCTATTGTTCAGTGTACACTCAGGCCTCTCTTGCAATGGCTTGAGTGCACGCTGGACAATGACCTTGGCTTGGATTCGGTTGCAGGAGGTGACAGCTTTCACATTACTGGAGAAGACATTACTGCAGAGAAGTCACAAGTGGTGCACGTGCATAGTGGGCAATTGAGTTACATGTGAATTAATCATTCGATTATCCTCATAAATGTTACATTTATTTATTGTTATATATATGAACATGTATCCTACTTATATGCTTGTTAAACAATTATTGATGTCCCTATGGATATTGGCAGAATTTAAGTGTGTAATGGGTTCTTGCAATGCGATCCTTTTTATAGTATTTGAGTGGCGTATGTGCATTTACACGAAGTGAAATCCTAAACTCGCACTTGTTAATTTTATTGGTGGTACGATGTTTTACGATTTTACACAGATTAATGGTCTATATAACTGAATTGTATGTATTCATACCTTTGAATTTTGCTGTATGTTAATGTTAATATATTACGTTTTATCCCTCATAGGACCACAAAGACTGTATTGTACAAGGGCGTCCGTTGAAGACAAGCCTTTTTTATATAGTGTGGGCGGGGCTGTTTTGTTGCCTTCAGAATAAAATAACCTTCCATCAACTGCAAAGCGTTTGGCGGGCGGTATCTGAATTTCAAAGGGAAAATCACATTTCTAGAAAGTTGGGTTTCTGCCCTTTCATGTGACACCTCAATCAGGAAAAATGAGCAAGGAATGACAAAGTTCTGTTTGTTTAAAGTAGCCCTTATTTTAGCAAACAAATTCGTTTTCACTGGCTGCCCGCCGTAGCAAAAATCAGAATTGACAAAAGACTTAACTCCGTTTCGTTGACAATCCGCCATGCATGAAGTCTTTCGTCTACGGCTGATTGTCAACGAAATGGAGTTAGGTCTTTTGTAAATTTCGTTTGTTGATACGGCAGGTAGCCAGTGAAAACGAATTCGTTTAATAAATTTATGAAAATGCAAGCTCTACTTTAAACAAACAGAACTTTTTTATTCCTAACTCATTTTTCCTGATTGAGGTGTCATATGAAAGGGCAGAAACTCAACTTTCTAGAAATGTGTTTTTCTGTTAGAAATTCAGATATCGTCCGCCAAATGACTTTTTGTTTTCCTCTCTTAAAATTGATTTTAATCACTCGTGCGTGAAATATGCATGATTATGAGTTGCATCAAATGAAAGAGGAGGATCTAAGCCTTCCAAATATGTGTCATTTATTAATTATAATTGTGATTAAGTTATGATAAAACATCGATAATTCTGGGTTTCGTTTTATCTGGGACGCACTGTTTATATATAAATATGTGTTATTTTATTTTCTTAAAAGTGTATGTTTTCATACTGTCGAAGCTACCACGATCTCCCTCCCCGGCTTCTTGGATTATATATTTATTCATTACTGAATTGTTTTTTTTAATGAATTTTTCTAATTACATGCCCCATCATTTTATTCGTCTGTAGCCTTTCACGCACTTCCTCAATGTTATGTGAATTGTAATTTCTTTTGATTATTTGTATAATTCCATTCTAGATCTAACAATTCATACCCAGTCTAAATTCCTGGCGTACATCGAATCTCAGACTGGTATAACATTAGAGGAAGGCTACAACTCAGCGTTCATAGGAAGGAGCGGCTTTAGTACCACAGGTCATCTGACGTCTATATGCCTACATCCGAACACGTAATATGTTGTTTCTGTGATGTCATTGTTGTAAACAAACGAAAAACCTTTAATCTAATATTTGTTGTTTATTTGGTCATCAAAATCCATAACGACACGTTGTATTGTACACTATGTAAATGTCATGATGATGCTGCTCTGCATATGGGGATTATTTTAATCATCTGTCTGTATATCAAGATGGTCATAGTTTTACAGGGTTTGAAATATATGAACTGATCACGTAGACCTTCCTTTAGGGGCTACGACTATGCTTTATAAAAAGTACAGATTTTAGTTTTCGATTAGTATACAGTGCGTATCAAAAAACGTCCTCCCAACTTTATTAGCTTCTTATATTAGTTATAACCCAGGTGATCGTGCATTATATGTTATGGTAAAAAGTAACTATACCCTATCTTATGATACATATTGCTTTCCAAAAAGAATTGTCAAAATCCTCTTGTACCAAGTTTGGGCTGAAGCAATGAATGTTGGTCAAAAGCCACTATGTGTGTGGTATCTCATTCCTAAAACAATTGCTCACTTATTTACATGCACTATTAGGCAGCTGAAAAGAAAAGATGTTAATATCAACTCAAACTCAAGTTAATACAAGCAAAATTTATGAAATTCTCTTGGTGTTGATGATTAATATCTTGACTTCATTTACATCCCCTTTTTAAGGTAACCCTTCTCACTGGATGATACAAAATGGTTAAAGTTTATTTTGGATATCTTTTTTTAATGAAAGTCTACTGTCATAATATTTCTTATACGGATCATATTTGTTCTTTATTGCATGTTGGTGTAGTAACCTTTTTTTTTATTCGTTATTCGAGATATAAACACATTATGGGCAAGCAGAGAGAACTTAGATATCACCAGACAAGAAGTGAACAGGCTGTTCAAAATAATTACAGGTTATCCAAAGGATTGCAACAAGGTTCTGTAAAAGCCTAGATACAATGCATGATGTTAAACAATGAAGCACTGAAGCAATGGGCATACTTTAATTTTTAGAAGGATTTAAGACCAAAGAAACACATGTATATGGCCTGACTTACATTCGTTTCATCAGCCCACACTTGGTACAAGGTGATATTTTTTAAAAGACCCTGGTGCTCAGTTACGAGTGGCAAAAGAATTTTGAACATAGGGTATCATTGGACTGAAAACAAGTTACTGTTCATCATGAAATAGATTTCAAAGTTGTATAGTTAACGACTTTTTAATTAGGAGCTACCAAAGTTGAGTACACTTTTTATACAGACTGTATATAAACTTGACTACTAAGAATAATAATAGTTGAACTATTCTTCTCCGTTGTTATTTCCTTCGAGTTTCATTTTATTTTTATCTTCCAGAGACGTTTATGCATTGCAGAATGGAACCATTCCTGCAATATTGAGAAAGAAATTACACAGGACTCCAGAGACAATCGAGAAATCATCCTTATTGTCTCCATTAAGTATGGCATTTGATCGACATGGTGAGAATGATTTCAAATTAAGTAATTCATGAGTGGTCTAAATTCAAATTCTCCTTAACTTACTATAAGAGTTTACCATAGAATAACTTTCCTTCACATACTCATTTCGCATTTACTCTTTCTTCTTCTTGCGAACAGTTGACCAAGGTAACATAATCATTCTCCAGGATTGGGTATTTTAAAGTAGTTTCATTATATTTTTTGGTTTATTCGTCTCTGTCCTTCTCTCTCCCTCTCTGTGTCTGTCTTTCCATTTCCCTCTCTATATGTCTTCTAGTCCTCTCCTAATTACTTCTCCTTTTTACTTCATATAATAGAGAAATAATTGTTCATGATCTATTTGGGTTGCTGTAGGATCCCGTCTCTTCATGTTGGATGACATGAAAGGTACAGTGGAGTCATGTGGTCCGTTAGGTGAAGATCACCAAATTCTTCTTCACTACCAGAAAACCGAGCCCGTAGATGTAGAATGGTATGGAGGGTCTCCCCTCTGGACGGACGACAGCTCCTACCGAGGCATCGGGTTCATGGCGAAGAGAGGGGGTCCCTCGACCGGCATTACAAGTTTGTACCAGTTTCAGAAAGCATCAGGAATCCATGTTTACTATGGTGAGTATCCACGTATCATCCACTTATGGAACAGTCGGGGTACAGTGTTTCATCAACTTGACTCTTTGAAATAATTGAAATACAAAGAAGGCAAAACATCTCGTTTTATAAATGAATATGAGAGTGTCAATTTGGTCTAGTGAAGGAGTTTTTTTCACAAATATTCAAATATGACAATTATAAATATTTTATACTATACTGAGAACATAAGCATGAACATATTTAAATTATGAGAGCCGAATAGAATTGAAGGCCGTATAATAATGAAGAGATTTCCTAGACCCAACGAAAAAATGCAAGTTATTATTTGGTTTAATGAATACATGTAAATATGAAATCGCATAGCACTTTACTAATTCCATGAACACGTAACCCATAAGGTGTTTCAGTTTTCATGTTCCCACTGTGCGCATCGGGGAGTTCATGTTGAAAGGGTAGAATTGTAGAAGAACCATCCCATGTACGATGAGCCAGTTGGAGACACTATTAGCGCATGGGCGAATTAAGGTCATGTATACAAAACCCATCTAGACGAATGCAGGATTCATGTTCATGAAAGATATAAAAACACCATTCACTTATGGACCGACGGTAAATGCTTTAGGTACTAGTTGTGACAAGATGTAAAGTCTTGATACAAGCCTATTTTGAGACTCAACATGGCATCTTCTAATAAAAGGTTCGGCAACCAGTTTCTTCTTTTTCGGTTCTGTAATACGCTCAGGATTAGGTCCGTAAGAAGGTCTGACTCTAAATATTTTGTTCAAGAGGGCAAACAAAAGTTTTCATGAAGCACTTCCGTCTGTTTGGCTGTGTTTATATCTAAAATACACAAAGTGCGAATATTATATAATATTTGTTGTTATTTGTATATATGTGCTCCCGACTGATCTGTTTTTATTATCATCATTGTTGTTATTATTATCATTATTATCAGTTTTATTATAATTTTGTATCATTATTATTATCATTGTTTTCATTATTAATATTATTGAAATCACTATTAAGTATTATTATTATTATTATAATCATCATCATCATTATTGCTTATGTTATTACCTCACCTGCAGGCGATGCTTACGAAAGGCAGGCAGGAGAAGATTGTCTAGTAGATGAGTTCACATGCAATGATACGGTCTGCATACCAATATCATGGAGATGTGATGGACTAGTAGACTGTGACGATGAGCTGGATGAAGCCAACTGCGATTCTGATGAACCTGGTCAGAATAATAATGACATTAACCTTAAATTGTGCTTGGATTTGTGTACCAAACTTAGAAAGGAAACTGAGAAGCTATGTTAAATCCCTCCCAAACTTTTCAACTAGTCAATCCTGCCACTGTTTGATCATTCACTTAACTTTCGATCCAAGTGTTGAGGGTTCGAATCTCATCGTGGCACTAACGAACGTCCTTTGGCAAGACATTAATCCACATTCGTCACTTTCCAGCCAGTAATGATATTTTATAATGGTTATTGCAGGTCTCGTTGGAAGAGCAGTATAACTGCTATTGCAACTACCCCGGGTAAATAAGATCCCATAAATAAGTATTGTTATTTGTATTATCATTATCATTACTATCATTATGCATTTGTATAACTATCATTATTATCATCATTATTATTATTATCATCATAAATAGTAGTAGCAGTGGAAGTAGTAGTAGTAGTAGTAGTAGTAGTAGTAGTAGTAGTAGTAGTCTCATTAGTATTAGTATTATTATTATTGTTATTATTATTATTATTATTAGGTGATACGTACGTAGACGTATCACCTTTTGATTTCGTCAAGATTTTTATTATTTATTTATTTATTTATTAGGTGATACGTACGTAGACGTATCACCTTTTGATTTCGTCAAGATTTTTATTATTTATTTATTTATTAGGTGATACGTAACGAAGTCAACGTATCACCTTTTGATTTCGTCAAGATTTTTATTTATTTTTTTTTTTTTATTATTCTTCCTCGAATTTGTTCGCAGGATATCTCAAGACTCAATAAAGCCATTGTTATGAATCTTTCACTGATGATAGATCTTAGTCTAACTTAGAACTGCGTGACTTTTCAAAGACTCAAAGTCATCGTGACGTCATCCAGGCGCCATTTTGTAAAAATCAACTTATGATCATATCTTCATAACGGAAAGTAATTTTACATTCATATTTATCAAGATTAAGATCAATATCCGTCGGATCAATATGAGGTCAATAAATGCGCGCAAAAATGCGCGTACGCGTAGGCGCGCGCGTCAATGCGCGCGTAAAATTTTAAATTGCTCAAAATCGTCTTAAATTTTTTTTGCATACGTTTCAGGCCATTTTAAGCATTTCATAAAAAATCACGCAAAACACGCATTTTTGCACGTTTTCGTTCGTCACGGCCGAACGAAAAATAATTTCTCCGCAAAAGCTCTTGACCGAATATTCCTCATATTTTTCCGGAAAATTTGATACCATGTTTAGCTCTTTATCACTATTAAAAACGGAATGAGCGTCCGTTCAAGATAACCGTCCGTACGCGCGATTTTTGTAATACATTGCATATATGGGCAAAAACATGCCTATGAAAAGTCCATTGGGATGAATAGGGATTGCCAATTTTTTTTTCATATTTAGATAGAGTATGAGTCGGAGGTATGATTTCATATCTCATTTGGCCATTAAGTACATCTTGACGGCATCATAATGGCCTTGGAAGTCAAAAATACAAAATTGCATATTATGACGTCATTGTATTTATGGAAAATGTAGTGTATTTCTCTCAATATTCATCGATTCTCTTTGAAATGTCGATATGTTGTAGATAAGGCAATTCTCTACAAGATCACTTTTCACTAAGTTTCATTTTAATGAGGTCATCATAGTACAAAATTCAATTAAAGGCCACATGTCAGAATTTTCGTCATTTGCGTGTTATG